TCCATTGCCGGTACCAGGAAAAAAAAAAAAAAATAGAAGAAGGTATCAGTGCTCGGTAACGAACGACACTTTGGATCCTCTTCTTGCTAGAATGTCTTTGATTTCTCAAATGTAAATGCTCTTTTGAGGTGCTGAGGACGGAACACTGCATTTTGTGTATGCTAGGCAAGCGCTGTACCTCTGAGCCATACCCGCAGCCCTTATGATTTTTGTTTTGAGACAAGGGCTCACTCAGTTGTCCAGGCTGCCTCAGTCTCCCGTGTAACTTGAGTTACAGGCATGCACCACCACATTCAATAACTGTGCATCTCTTTCAGGATTAAGTTCAAGAATTTGCTTTTTCTTCTAAGTCCTTAATGACTCAGCCTCTGCAATCTACTCTCCTCGAATCCTGGCTTTCATTTGTCGAGCTGTTCCTTCAGCATTTGGCTGTGTTAAAAGATCTCTCCTCTCAAGTCCCTCTTGTCTCCTCCAGTGGCTCACAAGCTTTGCCCAGAAAGTCCGAAGCCTCTTTTTCTTTTTGTATCCTGCATTGCTTTATGCACACAGTGATGGTTAGAATGAGCTGTTGACTTAATTGCCATACATATGTTTGGAAAAGTCCGTGGTTAGCAGGTTGCTCCTGACACATGGTAAGTCCACATGTAGGACATCTGACACCCCCATGATTGCAGACAGCACACAGGCTCAGGTGTGATAGCATTAGGGGAGCACGACGTAAGTGTCTTGGTGCACACACTTGCAAAGATCCTACACCTACCTTTGAGTTGCTTTTGCCTTCAGATAGTCTCAGGTACCTTGGGCTTTGTCGATGGTGGAGACCTGTTTCATGAGGACTCAGCCTTGCCCAAGTCCTTGTCTGTGCAGAGGGCATGGCACAGACACATGGGTGTTGACAAACGAAGGCTGCCTCTCTAGCGTGGGCCAGCACTGCTCAGGCAGAGGACTGGGACCCTCCAGCACAGAGCTGGTCTGCTGCAGCCAACCCTCTAAGGAGCCCTGAGTTCCCACTGGGTCACAGGCTCCTCTGGACACGTGCATCTTTGCTTCTTGGTCAGAGAGCATGAGCTCCTCTTGTCACGGACTTTGTGATCTCCTGAGGACCTCTCACAGGGCACGCTGGAACTTCAGTGGCTGCCCTCCTGATGTGTCCGAAATGTCCTGACATCTGTCGGGGGACAACCAGAGCCAACGTGAGCGATGGGAGACTGGACTTAAGCTCTGAAATCACATGGCTGGAACTTTTCAGATAATGTCATTCCTCATTTTTCCTAATAGCAATTTACAGATTGCATGCCAGGCTCCCCAGAGAAGCAGGACTTGCCAAGTATGCTTGTCATTTCTTCTAATTAGGTTTTAAATAAATCCAAGAACCCCTGTTTTCATTTACCTTGGATTATGCAGCCACACTGTTCTTGTTTATGTTGCCCACGGAGACAGTCCTGGAAAGGACACCGGATTCCTGACATTCTAAAAGCTCCGGAAGTTTCCTCCCAGGCACTTCACTAAGCATTGGTTCAGCCCCATGAGCAGAGAGGAAAAGAGGAGCAGCCCAGCCTGGGCTGCCGAGCTCCTCCCTGCTCCTTCTTCTCTGCAAGGCCGTGGCTGGACCTTGAGCTCTAAGGCCAAGGGCTGAGACATCGTGGGGAGAGGAGGCCGAGAGCTGGCTGGAAGATGAGCGCCCCAGGGCACCTCAGCCCTCCCTCTTCCGGGCCCATCCTTCCCCAGACTGCCTCTTGGGCTCCTCCCACTTTGGGTACCGTCCCTGCCCCAGAGGCCCTCTGTCCTGGGCTCACTGTGGCCTCCTTGACTGCAGGGATCTGTGGAAGCAGCAATTCCCTGTCAGGAGTGAGATTTCCAAGCCCACACTTCACTTTTTATTTTGGGGGCAGGCGGAGGTGTCCGGCCTCTGAGTGCTGTTGACCCAGGGAAACTAAGAAAAGTTTGCCAAGCAGGCTCTGTTGCCGCTACCGTCTCCCCTGCTACCTTCTCCCCTTCGGATGTGTGGCGGTTGAGCCTGGGGAGGTGGAGAAGGGTAAGTGGGTTCTTCAGACCAGGACTGGATGGCCACGGGCAGTGTAGCTCAGCCTTGTGGGCCCTCCCGGGAAGGGGCAGCCAGCCTGTGGTACCTGTTTCAGACTTCAGGCTGTTGGGGTGATAAACGCCTTGGTTATCTTGGGCAGCAAGAGGCTCTAATCCTTTCATAAATTACAGGCCTGTGAAACTAGGTTACCCAAGTCCCTGAAGTATTCCTGCCCTGCCTCTGCCCTCCCCATTTCCCTCTCCCCCGCTTCTCTGCCCTTCCCTCCCTTACCTCTCCCTTCCTTTCCCCTCCGCTCCCCTCTCCTCTTTATCTCCTCTTCCATCTTTCCCTCTTTTAAATTTAGTCTTCCTTTCCCTCCCTCCCTCGCTTCTCTCCCTTTTCTCTTTCTGTCAGACTGATAACTACCACCAGGTATTCATTGCAACAGGGTAAATCACATTTTTCTCAAAGGAATCAAAGATAGTTTTTTTGGTGCGACACATAGATCAGGAACCAACAGCCGAGGACTGTGGCTGAGCAGATGGGATTAGATATGAAACCCCTTATTGGATGCTGGCTCCCTGTGCTCCCCTCTGGTCCTTGTGTCCCTGGCAGCCCCAGCCCCAGGGGCCTGAGGTTGTGGCAGTTTCACTTCTGTGCTTGGTGGGAGCTGCAGTTAGTGAGTGCTGCCCCGGGTGTCTGCATATGGGAAATAACACACAGCCTTGACTGCGTTTTCTCCTTATCCTGGGTGGTTGTTAAATCACACCCACTGAAGGAGGCGCTGATCATGTATTTATTGGATCAGTATGGTCGGCATTATATCCCACATTGTGTTAGTCTTTGCAAAGGTGCCCCCCCTAGGGATTAATGGGTTCTTTGAATGTCAACACTGATGAAATCAGGGAATGCTTGTTAAGGTTGCTAAAGTGTTTCTCCTTGGTATTTAAAGTAACAAGCCCAAATAAATTCACTGATGAGAGCCCACTGATAAATTTTTATAATTTCAATTTTTTAAAACACACAGTGCCCCGATAATGTTTTTTTTACAAATTATGTCTTTGTGCCAGGTTCAATAACAGCTATGTCCCCTTATGAATGAAGAGTAACAACTAACCTACTGAACAATTTGTTAATGAACTTAACTCATCCCCTTTCATAGTGGATTGCATAATAGTTATTTGGGAAAAGAGAAATATTTCCCAGGGCTTAGAAGATCTAGATCCCTGTACACTCCCTACTGTGTTTCCTGGATTTGGCTTAAATTTTCAAGATAAAAATTGTAACGTAACCAAGTACAAAGGTCTATTATGTTTTGAGCAATTTCTGCCCAGAAGCTTATTATCCAGCTATTTCAGAAACCTTTCACCCATTCAAACCTGCTCGAAAACCAAGAGGTCTGTGAACCCCTGGAATCAGTTCTCATCAAGCGAAGAACTACAATCCATGCTCATAATTAGAAAGGAAAAAGACCTCGGGCCTTCAATCAGAACTTACTTAATTTTGCATGTTATTAGAAACCTTAATTATCTGATTTTCAGACTCACAGTTGTGTAGAAACTGTCATTTAAGAAACTGACGAGAACAAAAGGCAGGAACAATGATCTGAAAGGAGCTTTAGTCAGACAGAAAGGCAGGAACAGCAAGAGGACTGGTCTTTGTAGAGAGCCATGCGTTGTGCAGTGTTTATGAAGGAAAATTCAGATTACGGTTTGTATATTCTGCACCAAAAAGCACAGAGACTTGTAATATATTTTAAGAGGATCTTTCAAAATTCAGTTAGATCTAATTAAAATGAGCTGTATCACTTACAGCCCTTCGTGTCATATGTCATCATCATAGAACATTGCGCTTGAATTATTCCTGATCGATGGTATCTACACGTCATCCCAGTAAGCTAAGAGATAACATATCTTAACCCAGAGGATCCCAAAACCGTGTAGCCCAGATGCCTTGTTCCAAAAAGATTTGGACTCAGAATGCTGGTAGAGAACACCGAGCATAGAGGAGCTGCTCTGGTTTCTAAGGGCGCACAGGTTGCCTGAGCAGGCGAAGTGTTCCGTGTGCCCTCCCCAGCCAGTTCCCAGAAACCTCCAGAATCCCCGCTGCTCCACTGCGTGCAGAGCGCAGGGGTGGGCGAAGAGCCAGGCAGAGGAGGGAACTGCTGATTAGGAAAGGTGCTTTTTAGGTGCCGTTAAGTCCTAGCCCACATGTGGCTACCCGCCTGGGATACCTTCTTTTGCTTGTGTGAAATCTACCAAAGCTGTTGTAGCAGGCGAGAAGTGCGCTAGGATCAACTCGAGTTCCCTCAGCACCATTGTAGCTTTGATGAGCAATAAGACCCAAGTACTCCATGCGTTTTCTGCAGGTGTTGCCAAGGCAGTGATCCAACCAGCACATCCGCAGGAAACAGGAGAGCACCAGGATATGGTGCTCCTGGTTTGCAAAGTCGAATTTTATCATTGCTGCTGGTTCTATGACTACTTCTAGTACTGTTTCTTGTCTGAGCTGTGTGTGCGACCCCACCCCTTGAAATGCAGGCTGTCTGGCAGCAGAGGAGAGATGCTTGGTTGGAAGGCAGACCGAAGTAAAGATGTCGGCATGTTAACTACCTGAGTGAAAATGTGAAAAAAGGATAACAATGACTCCGTTGTTTTATCATGAAACTTAGAAGTATGGCGGCCCAGTAAAGAGCTTAGTGTAGCCGTGTGCTCAGTGTGTAGCAGCTGTGACTGCTGTTATAGTCGGGGAGATGATCCTAGGCCACTGGAAGTTGTGTGGATGTGGAGCTACTTGGCGAGTCAGGACGACTGGTGAAGTGTGTTCTATTAACATTTAAGATGAAGTTTTACATTTCCTTAGTAACAGAAATAATTGCAGTGTTTGCTTCCTTTCTGTATGTTCCTTTTCATGCTGGGGAAGTCCTCAGAACAGAGTGTTAACATCTCTTTCCTATGTTTTGACTTGTACGTTGTAGAAATCTGCTCTCAGGAGGAAGTGTGCAGTCTGCAAAATCGTGGTCCACACTGCCTGCATCGAGCAGCTAGAAAAGGTAAGAGAGCGCCACCTGCTGCCACTTATATTTGTTGCAAGTGTCTGGTCTTCATTTACATTTGGGCGCCAGGTTTTTTCTATTTCCGACTTTTTTTAAAAAAAAAGTTCCCCTTTAAAAACCTAGAAGTCGAACAAAATAACCAGATGAATAATTAAAAGACAATGCTTAAGGATCATTTAGTCTGTTAATGCTGATGCATTACTTGATATCATTTAATGTTGACTCCTGGGGAAAATGATACAACTAGAGGGCAGAGACTGTTTGCACTAATTCTCTTCCTGTACAATCCTTGCTTTTGAACAAGGTATTTCTTTAAGAAAACAGTTCCAGCACCTTTGATCTTACGCGGCCATAGTTTATGTGCATACGCCCCTCTTCATGAGTTCGCCTCTTCCTCAAGTGGCTGCAAGGAAGGGGGCGGAACCTGAAAGCCGCCCTCGACCTCTTCTGCGGCTTCCTGCACAGGGTCTGCGTGTGAATGTGCAGCCGGGCTGCAGGCGACACCCTCAGGGTGCCTTGCCCCTGAAGACACAGGCTCTGCGTGGTCCATTTCCTTATTGTCTAGGGCGAGGGAAAGGCTCCACTGGACAGCGTACAGGCTGTCCTCTGTCTCCTGCCTCTGACTTGAGCGCCGCCTATAATTCTCTGCGCGCTGCCCAGGCGCTTGAGCGGACACGTGTCAACGGGTTGAAACAATTCAGTTCCGTGGCCTGTTGTTTAGCTTCCCATGTGTGTCTTTCTCCTGACACATGGCAGCTGTTGTGCGCCGATATCGCCTGACAATGACTACTCAAATTTATCCTAATGTAAAAACATTAATTTACCTTCCTGTACAAACATTAAATGTAAAAACACTAATGTAAAAACATCACAACACCGCTCATTCGTCTTCTCCCTCATTCCATGCTTGTTTTATTTTACGCAGCAGCGAAGAAGATGCAGATTTTTAACCAGGAGGTCTTCCTTTCTAAAGGGCAGGGCTGAACCTTTGATAAAGAATAATTTTGGATAATTTGAATACTTCTCATAATAGTTAAAATTTCTCAGGTTCATAACTTCTACTTTTAAAATTTGAAATCCAGCTGGGTGGTTTCAGCTGCTCTGTATTTTTCTCTGACTCTTTCTTACCTCAGTTTCTCTACATGGCAGTCTAAGAGCATTATTATTTATAGGAACTTTGATTTCACCCCTAAGAATGAAAGGACTTGGATTTAGGCATGAAATCACTCGACCTCTCTGTGTTGATATCAAAAGACTAAGAATAGTGTTTCTTGGTTCCTTACTGTTTGGGCAATTATTGTTGCAATATCTGTTACTATTGATTTTTTCAGATAATTCAATCTAGTGTGAGGCTTATCCCTAATGTAATGTATTTTTCTTTTCATATGACAGATTAATTTCAGATGTAAACCAACATTTCGGGAAGGAGGCTCGAGGTCACCAAGAGAGGTGAGTATTTCCGGAGTGTTTTAGATACCACCTTGGATTCCTGCGGGTTCAGGGGATTCATAGATATCCGCTGTTCACTAGGGATTAAGAAATACATTCCGCGTGCCTCCATTCCACATCAGTTTCTTGCTGAGACCTCAGTCAGTCCAGTCAATGTAATCTCCAGGGATCTGCGGTGTTTGTACACAGTGCTCTGTTCTGTTCATGGGATAACCGTGATGGGAGCCAAGTTCTTACTGAATGAACCAGACAGTGGGGGAGGAATAGAGGTGAAGGGGGAAGGAAACAATAGACTTTTGTTGGGATTTTTTGGCTAATTTTCATTGCAATTTCTCAATTTTGAATGTGTAGCCACTGTTCAGAAAACATTGTAGTTACTGCTTATTTATATGAATGCTAGAGCTGGACTGTCCTCTCGCAAAGTGCGTCCTGATGCCTCGTGACCTTGGACATCTCATCTAATCTCTCTAAGTAACGGGGAGTTTTCATTTGTTAGGTAGATAGATACATAGATAGATAGATAGATAGATAGATAGATAGATACGCTGATGGACTTACATTCAGTACTGAATCCCTGACCTTGCACACCAGTTATGTAGATAAACAAGTTGGAAACTAGCATTCAGAGCACTTGGTGCTGTTTTTGTAGTAGCAGAGGATTCAGGGGAGGAGATGGTTCTTAAATATATTTGTTTGTTCCGCTGTTATTTAGAGGAGACACAAGGCTCAACTGCAGGGAGACGTTAGAGAAGGTGAGAGTGGTTCTCAGCCCTCCTGCGTTGTTCTCTGCAGTCCAGTTCTAGGACAGAGTTGCAGTCCATAGTCTGTGAGACATAAGCTTATCCTGAGTAGAATTCAGCCTTCTTAGAGGGGGCTCCCCACTGTGCCCCACACCTTGCTATCTCACACGGAGCGCTCCTTAGGAGAAAGTCTGTTGAGTCGTTTGTGGTTAGTGTACTTTCTGCAGTCCATTTCCGTTCCCAGAGAGATGAGTTCCGGTTCCACTTACAGATGTACTCTGGAAAACTTCCCATCAGGTGTATGCCTCAAATTAGCTGCTTGTAGTTGGGAACAGGAGTGAGAAGAAAGGGGTCAAGAAGCCCTAAACTGAGCTTAAGGAGCAAACAGGCAGAGTGAGAGACCCTGGTGAGTAAGGAATGTGATCTGTGAGACGAGCAAGGGCCAGATCCCGAGGGTCCTGGGGGGCCAGGCTGCCCTGAGTGTTTTATCATCTGGGAAATTGAGAAGGGGCATTCAGTTGTTTCCAGCAGAATCTACTATGCTGAATGCAACATAGAGAGAACACCCTGTAGTGCTGGAGTAGTACCGCTGGCGTCATGGAGACAGTTGAAAGGTGTTGTCAGTACTCTAGGCGCACAAGACTGGTGACTTGACCCAAGAGTATCATGGGTAATAGACATGAGTTTGAAAAAAAATTGAGAAGGTGTAGGAATTGATGGGATTTGGGGATATGAAAGGGAAGGTACGAGAATAAACCAGCTTCCTGCCTTGCAGAATGCATTCAGTGTTGGCAAACGAGCTTATGTGAGGACGGGGTGGGAGGTGATGAGTTCAGTTGTAGAACTATCAGGTTTGGGGCATCCTGTGCCCCCGTTAAGGATGCCCAATAGAAAGCTGGATGGGAATACGAGTTCACAGGTTATCAGGAAAAGGAGCCAGCGTTAGACATTTGCTAATTGTTGGCATGTGTAGATAGTAATGAAAGCTGTGAGATACCTGAATGTGTAGACTAGGAGTAGAAGACCTCTGAGTACAGACAAAATCACACACATTTTAAAGATAGTCAGTAATAGGCTTGGGGCAGGGGTGCAGCCTTGTATCTCAGCTACTCAGGAGGCTGTGGCAGGAGGACCCTTTGAGTCCAGGAGTTTCACATCAGCCTGGGCCATGTGCAAGACCTTGATTAAAACAAATACAAAAATTTAAAAAGACACTGTGAAAAAGAATGATCTCATTGTTACTGATGAATTCAAGTGGGTTGAAAGACAACATGGAAAGACAATGGGGTGGAGCCCGAGGTTGTGGGCAGAAGAACAGGTACTTACTCCATCCATTGTCTTCTCCTAATATTTGTGGACATGACCGTACGGCGGGTGTCATCACTGCTACCCCACAGTGCTCTCGGGTCGTGGCCACAAGATCGCTCAGTGGTAGCTCAAAACAAAGATGCTAGTTGAGAGAAGAGAAGTGATAGCGTTGTGTTCTCATGATGGAGTTTATAGATTTCTTGCCAAGAGGCCCTTGTCTACCTTTGGTTCCCTATCCTTCAGTTTCAATTCCCCTCCTCTCTCTGCATAGATAGATAATTAAAACTGGGGGAGGGGGGGATTCCCTTGGGTGGTTTGCTCCTTTTCCCTGAAACTAGTTCTTTCATGTGGGTTTTCTGTATCTTCCCTTGTCTTAATACCAATGACTTGATATTCGTTCTTTTTCTACATTTTTGAACACTCCCAACCACCCCATCTAGGTGAACTCTATCAGCATAAGCATGCTATCATAGTTTCTAAGAGAAGTAAACTGTGCGTAATTGTTGCTTGAATTCTCAGTTTTGTGTTCACTGCTGAGCTTCCAGGAAGTGTTATCTATTTAAATTATTAAATAGATAATATTTAATTATCCCTGTCATCTTCTAATCCTTTTAAGCTATTTTGAGCTTGTTTCTACTCTGTCCATTCACTGAAATTGCTTGCTTATTGTTACAAGTGATCTCCTTCCTGCCAAACTCATCAGATGTTTTTCTCTTCTTAGTTTCAGAAATATTCAAAATATTCAAAATTCCATCCTTCCTGAAATGGTCTCGCCTCTTGACTGCTAGTGTCGTTCTCACCTGCTTGTCCTCTTCTCTGGAAAGCCCTTCCTGCTGGCTCTCACCGCCTGTCTTGGTTATTTTTCTCCCATTGCTAAGACAAAATACCTGATGCCCAAAATGAAGGAAGGAAAGGTTTATTTAGCTCACAGTTTGTGGTGGTTTCAGTCCATACTTACTGGCTCCAAGGCAGAGTGGCACATGGCAGAGGGCAACCATTCATGGCAGTGGAAAACAGCAAAAGCAATAGGAGCAAAAGGGAGGAGGAGTGGCAGCAAGCAGCCTCTTTCCCTCCCTTACATATGCAAACTATCCACCAGAGGGAGGGTGTAGCACTGACACCCAGCAATGGACCATGGATCAATCATAAACTCTAGACAACCGCCCCATGACTGCATGAGGCTTCGAGGGGACACCCAGACACAAACCATAACACCACCCATTCCCCGACCTCTACATAACCTGCCGCGGCTGGGTGCTTGACCATGTTCTTTTTCTCTGCCCATTCTTGTTTAGAAAGCTGGCATCTCCTGACTACATTTCCAGTCTATGTTTCTTGAGGTTCCGTTTGACACATCCTTTGAATGTATCATAGCCATCTGAGGGAAAATGCATAAGAAAAGAAGCTCTTTCGTAAAAACTACTTTTTCCCATGCTTTTGCACCTCATAAGAAATGAACTTTTCAGTTGCAACAACTGAGGGTCATACTGATTTCCACTCTTACGTTCTGTACACCTCCAATTCCATTGCCAGTCCTGACAATTTTATTTATAAAATGTTTTTCATAATTCATCCATTTATCTCACTTGCTTACTGTTTGCAGCTTAAACTAAGGTACTGTGATTTTGCACCTTTGACCATTGCAGCAGCTTCTCCATATTTTTTTAGTGTCTCTTTCCAACTTACCCATGATTAAAGAGTGTGATCTTTTAGATGAAAATTAGGTTACATCATTTTCCAGCTTGAAAGTCTCCAATGATTTCTACAGTGCTGAGAGCACCACCAGACCCTTTGTCTTGTTACAAAAGACCTGGGTAGTCTGGCCGCTGTCTACCTCTCTTGCTTTATCTAGCTCTAACAGGAGTTTTTAGTTCTGAGGGCACATCCCAAGATATTCCCCAGCTTTGAATATTTGTGTATTTCATTTCTATATCGAAAATTTCTTTGCATGACTGGCTATTTCTTATGGTCAGGCTACAGCTTAAATATCATCCCCTTAGAGGTTGTCTGAATCCATGTTTTCATATCAAAATACCCTATTGAGGTGGCTTGCAAACAAGAAAAATATGTTTTTCACAGTTTTGGATGCTGAGAAGCTCAAGAACAGGGTGCCAGCATGGTTTGGTTCTGGTGAAGGCCTCTTGCATGTTTCAGACTTCTTCACAGGGATGAAGGAGGGCAAGTGATCTCTCTGGAGTCCCCCTTTAAAAATTTTTTTTGGTACTGGGAATTGAACTCAGGACCTCACACTTGCCAGGCAGGCGCTGTGCCACTGAGCTACATCCCCAGCCCCCTTAGAGTCCCTTTTGTAAGACTCTAATCTCATTCATAGGGGCTCTACCCTCATGACCTAGCTTCCTCTGGAAATCCCTCGTCCTAATCACAACGCATCATGGGTTAGTGTTTCATAGAGGAGTTTTGCGACATCACAGACCTCAGTCTGTTGTAGCGCTCCTCCTCAGTGACCACCTGTAAATGCGTAGCATGTTGCTCTCTGTCAGAGCACCTTGTTCTGCCCCCTTCAGACCACCTTGTGTACTGTGATTATTTATGAATGTTACTGTTTACTAGCCTACCATTGTCTTCCTCCTTCAGTGTGAGGCTTGGGAGATTCCTCATGGAATTTGTGCCAAGACGAAGAGTGTGTGGTCAGTGAACATCTACTGCCTGAATGTATTTCTAAGAGGCTGAATTTCTTCCAAAATGCCTGAGAACTCTCGGCCTAAGAGGACATTTTGAAGATGAAACTTATGACTGATGATGACTGCTTTGAGCTTCTTCCTTAAGAGATTCTCATAGGTTACTCAGTGTAAATGATGAAACAATCACTTTAGAATTAGCTTGACTTGCGTTCACATCCCACCTCTACTTCTTTCCCACGAAGTGGTCAGAGTCTCAAAAGCAAGAATTGCTGACCAGTGTGTCTCCCCGCCACGCAGGACTTGAACATGACAACTTCTTAACAAATGCTTGGGGGACTTTATCATCGAAATTGAGTCTCTGTGGAACTCAGTTTTCTGAGTTGTAAACTATAAAGATTTGGCTATGATTTCTAAGAACCTTTCAAACATTCTATGAACAACATTTTGAATTAAATTGGGTATTTGAAAATAACCAAGCTTCTATGCTAGGTGTTTATAATTAATATAAATACTGAATATAATCCCTGAAATAATATAGCACTGATTAAAACCCAAAAGATAGAATCTTTTCCTTACTCGAATACGAATAATTCAGAAATCATTGATGAGCAGTGAAAAGATATCATGGCGTTCGAAGCCCCACTCTGCTATCTTAACAATGGTATATCAACGCTCACATTGGCAGTATTAGAACCCCAAATCTAATGTTAATTCAGCAATTTAGAGACAGTGAACAATGGTCAAAAGAACAGTGTGAAAAACCTGATTTCAGTGAAATAAGCTAGGAGCTATGAAAATGGCCAAAAAAAAGGAAGTGTGAAAAATCTAATTTCAGTCCAGTAATTTAAGAGCCATGAATAATGGTCAGAAGAAAACAGTGTGTAAAGTTAAATTGCTTATGAATAAGGATTAGGGAACAGCAACCTATGGTAATATCTTTCTTTCCCTTATTGATGAAGGTAATTGATGATCCTCCTGCCCTCAGATGATAACCCCATGATTTAATTGTCAAAGAAATGAGGTTGAGAATTCCACTCAGTCCACCATGCATTTACTGCATATTTATGTTGTTCAAACTGTGTGTTTAAGCTTATCTTCTTTCTTTGTATTAGAATATATTCGCAACACATAACAGTTACAATCATCTTGGGAAATTGCTGTATATACATATTGTGTGATCACATTGTGTTTAAACCACAGTAAAATAAATTTGTTCGAGGCCAAAGAACAATTCTGTGCGATGCTTGATATCTCCAAACCTAAAACTATAGATTATAGATTATATAGTTACTAAGTTTATTAAGTCACTTTCTTTAATACTAGTAATTTTTGTGCAAATTATTTTATCTGTGCCTTTGCTTTCTTGGTTTCCTGATTACTTTCTAGGAAGAATAATATTGAAGATATTTAGTGACTACTAGTTGCATATATTAATATTTAAATAAAATTTTAAAATATTTTCTTTTATTTCCCAAGTAAGCTAAATTACATGCTATTATAAATCTGCTTGCCAAATGTTATATGTCACGGTACAAATGATTAATTCAGTCATCTAATTTCTAATTGTTGATTTGTGAAAATTGTTGGCTTAATCTTTTGAGTAGCTCTGTCACTAGCTAAATGATCCCATGAGTCAGCCGTGATTTCTCACAGGTAATAGCAGCCAATTCTTCCAGGATTTTCCTCCTGAAATTGATAATCACTAGGTGATTTATAACCTCAATAAGCACAGAGCTTCTTTCAGTGATATTGTTCATTCTCCCTCAGTTTCTTCTAACCTAAGAGCAAGTGTATTAAAATTTTCTCTCCCTTCTAATTACTGTCTGACATTTTTATGTATTCAATATTTTCACTTCTGTCATTGGAATCCTTGATTGGTGTGTCTTGTTGAAGTAGCTCAAGTGAGGTCTTTCAGAGCAGAGGAAGCATTAGCAACACAGCTGAAAGAACATGGATCACAGCTTTTAAGTGACTTTCTGTGCTTTGGTTTCCTCATCTGTTAAATGAGGATGATAATGCTAGCTAGAGTCAAACTCTCTGAGGAGCTGCCCTATAATTTTTTTTTTTTGAGAGAAAGTCTTGCTGAGTCACCAAGTTGCCCAGGCTGGGCTTAAACCTTTAGTCCTCCTGCCTCAGCCTACCGGTGCTGGAATTATAGGAAGGCACCACCATGTCTGGCTAAGATGCTTTATAATAACATGAACTATGATGCTCTAAAGTTGGCAGTTTGCTACTCCCTACCCCAATTCTTAAGCAAGCACTGAGTAAAGTCATTGTCTTATCACTAGAGTAGGAGGTTGAGGAGCTCAGCAGTAGCTTCATCTGCAGAGTGGGCAGGTGGAAGGTCCAGCATCTCACCTTCCATAGAGTTCTTACACTCAAACTGGGCCTGATGCCGAAAATGAGGGAGGTTCCTGGAATGGTAGCCACTGTCTAGGAAGCCTCAGACAGCCTTGGGACCCCTAGTTGCCCACGTAGACATGGACGTTTACACAGACAAGCACTCCAGTTGGGCTTGCCCAGTCTTCTGAGGTGCTTGAGGGAATCAGTGGCCCTGGGCAGGCGACAGTGAACTCATGGGCCAGCATCCTGGAGACCTGATGTGTCAGAAATGTACATTCCTGCTATTTAATGATGAGGAGATGAACATGGTCTCCAGGGCCAAGGGGGTGTGGTAGAGGTTGCTATGGCAGCAAAGGAGGAGGGGGGAGGGGACAGTACACTGAAATGTACCACGCAATCTACAAATAGTTCAATACTTGAACGCCTGAGACATCATTCATATATTCCTCCTGCGTAGCACCTCTGGTCACTAAAATTCTCATGAAATTAGAAGAATTGTTATGCGTAAAATATACTTAAAAGTGCCTGGGACCCAGTCAGTTACCAGAAAGTAATATTATTATTAGTTTCTTTCTTACAACAGATAAAATTGTCTTTGTTTTATTCAGTGGTGACAGTGACAGCAGGAAAGGCAAGGAGAAAATCAGGCTACTTTGTGGGATCTTTATGCTTCTTTGCATTTTATTATAGTCAAGACACCATTTCACCTCCAGGGTTTTTCTTCTGTTTTAGTGTGAATTCATTTGACATTAGTCAGAGAAATAGAGGCACAAATTTTGGCACAAATATTTTAATGCTAATGCTTGTTGGGGTATTCTAGCCAGTCCGATTTTGTCATGCCTGGATGTAACATTTTTTTTCTTTATTCAACACTGGCCTTGAAAAGTGCCAAGCATGTAGCAGGGATTTAGTAAATATTTGTTGAATGACTGGATATGTAGTAAAGGCCTTCTAACAAGAAAATATCCACTATGGCTGGATCCTGCAATAGCAATCCTAGTACCAAGTCAAGTGTGTTATCTCAGAAAAGGGCAAGAAAAGAGTAGGTTGTCCTATAGGTATATTGGCCTAAGAGGGCCAGGTTGTGCTAAGTTATTAGGTCCACCTGCATTCATCTTGAAAACAGTGTTCTTTCTTCTAAGGTGCCCTAAGAGCTGGCAGTGACAGGGCTGCTTGCCTCTCTGTCCCAGGAGTCATTATCTACTTGAAAGGCAAAGAGCTGTCTAGCTAGGGTGCCTGGGGATTAAACAGTCTCACTGACAAATCACCACCCTGGAACCCACATCTCTTGCCTTTGACTTCTCTTTTCTTTGGTTTTCTCTTCCTTCCTTTTACCTAGTGAAACATTTTCAAGTGAACGTCTTATCTCTGTTCCTGAGAATGGAAGTTCCATCCAGTTTGAATGTTTAGAACAGTGCCTGCCTGCCGTGGAAAGTAATAAATAATGTTTGTTCGTTTGAATCGGATGTTATTGTTCCAGCTCTTTTCCTTCACCTTTTCACTTCTCTCTGTCTTTTTTTCTTTTTTTAAACTGCTTCAGGTACCTCCCAGCCCATAGTCCTTTAGCCATTTATAAATCTGCACAGGGTTTTCCTGATAAGATAGCACAGTGCTCAAGCTGGCATGGACACTTGCCCCTAGGCAGGCAGGGCGGAAAGGCATGATAGATAGAATCTATGATTATGGGAGCTCTCTGAGGATAGAGCATTAACTTCATGGTTTTCCTGAGTGTATTCCTACTTATTGTTGAACAAGTCATAAATACACACTTTTGCTTTTGCGTTTGTTTGGGCATAAATTATGGTTTCTGTAAATCTATAATCTTGAAACATTAAAAAATGAATATTGAGGTTTGCAGCTGAAAACATTTTCCTTTAACTTTGTTTTCCCACAGAATTTTGTGCGTCATCACTGGGTGCACCGGCGCCGGCAGGAAGGAAAATGTAAGCAGTGTGGTAAGGTAAGGGCCCAGCCACCCACGGCCCCGCGGGAGGCTCCTCCGGCCTTCACAGGCACTGAGGTATAGGACTCCTGTCCCCTAAGCCCAGGGTTCTGCACATCAGTTCTTCTCTGAAAGGCATTATTTCTCCAAATCCCCTTTTCTTAAGAAGGTTTTTTTTTTTTTTTTTGTACTGGGAATTGAACACAGGACCTTGCGCTTGCCAGGCAGGCACTGCCGTAAGAAGTATTTTGATTGTTCTCAAACTCATTGCAAGGGGCAGTTGTCTTAGTAAAAGGAATCAGCACTTTCTGATGGACATAGTCCTACAGCAGATTTTATTGATTGCTGTGCTTTCCTAGGATGTTCAGCTCCCTTATGAGGAATGCTGGCCTGCTGAGTGTATTTGATCAGTCACAGTGCTGTGGAGCAATATTACTTTTGTTGATATATAATTGTCTGCATGTACTCTCATAGCGTAATACTGAGCAGAACTGCTCAGAGGACAGTATGGTCAGAACCTGGAAATGTGTTTCTCTCTCAAAATATTTCCAATGTTTGGACAGAGAAGCCTTCTTCACAGGTGACCCTTTTGTGTCTGGGTGACCTTTTCTTCTTTTGATTGAAGATCCCTCTGGAAACAGTAGGAAAAGTGACAGGGTACGGGTCGGGGTGGTTTGACTGTAGGATTTAAACTGTCTGCATTTTATGTGTTACTGACTTGGATTATAGCTTTTCCCAATGTACAAAGGCCAACCTTCAAGAATTTTAGAGTTTTCTGGGAAGATTACACTGGTGATGAATCACACTGTTAATGACTTTTTAAAATAATAAGCTAGTGGGCATCAATAAAGGGTTAGGTTTGATTAGACAAAGACCAAGATAATTTGGGAGAACATATTCCTCATCAAACATTGATTGATTTGTTTGTTTAATCATGTGAGTCCCTTGGGTTAAACATTGGGGTGAGCTTACGAACATGGAGCTTTTAATAATGGAGGGATCCAAAGAGGTTTTGGCAGCCTGGGGTAGGGTTGTGGATGGGTGAAAGAGAATTTGAAACATTTCATTGCTTTTGCTGTTTGCCTCATCCCTGGGGAGAAAATATCATGCTGTAGTGATTGGTTACTGTAGCATAACTCATAGTAGCTAAATCTTGGAAATAGCCTACATGTGCCTCCACAGATGAATGGATAATGGAAGTGTGGTGTTCATACTCAGTGGAGTTCTATTCAACCATAAAGAAAAGTAAATTTGACTCATTTGTAAGAAAATGGATGCATCTGGAGGTCACAGAGCTAAGTAAAATAAATAAGATGCAGAAGCTTAAATATTGCATGGTTTCACTCCTATGAGAAACTCAAAGTATAAATCATTTAAAGAGCAAAATAAAAGATAGATGATAGGATGGGGTAGACTTTTTGTAGATGGGAAGCAGATCTAGAGATGAAGAGAGAAGGGAAGGAGGGGAGAGGAAGGGCAAATAAAAAGGATAAAATGTGTACATGTACTAACTCCCCATGATGAATGCATTCATTATGGTTTGCAAACATTTACTAATTTAAAAAAAGTTTTCCTGCAGAAGGCTCCAGGACATAGTCTTCTGTTGTAACTGGTGTTACCTCCTCTCATTCCATCCAATGGTTCTTAGTTGGTTCCATTTTAAATGGGCAAAGTAGGTTGAGGTAAGAGGAAGAAGAGGAGGAGGAGGAGGAGGGGTGGGAAGATTTTTTTTTTTTTTTTTTTTTTTTGGTTTTTCTCTGGTACCAGGAACCGAACTCACGACCTTGCGCTTGCCAGGCAGGCGCTTTTTGCCGCTGAACTAAATCCCCAGCCCCTAGGGTGGGAAGATTTTTATTAGCCATTTTACACAGCTGGGATGGACAGTGCGCTAGTGTCATGTGACCTTCCTGCTTGGTCCGTCTATCTCTTCTTGTGTGGCACTGCTTTTGGGTTTATAGGTTTTCTCATACTTTTTGAAATATATATGTATGGAGAGATGGGGGAATATATATTATGTAAGAGAGTCAGGCAGGCGCAACCAAGTTTGGAGTCAGGGGTGTGGGCTGTAGGAAGGATCAGGATGAACTGATTCTTTTTTTTGGAAAAACATCTTTACAGGAGAGCTTAGTACCTGGAACCATCTCAACAATTCAAGCCATCATGGATTTGGAGGGATTTTATTTTTAAAAATCAATCAACGTCATAGCTTTTATGACACGTATTCTCCGGTGTGGTTTGCACTGCCTTGTGCTGGCACGGTCACCTGGATGGGAGACCTTGGGCTCCTCACACCTTGCTGCTATGGCCCTGTCTCCTTTCCTCCCAGCAGTGCTCAGACAGCCACCTTGAGTTTCCCATGACAGTTGTCCGTGGAGAAGTCCAAGGTGTTTACATACAATTCCCACAGCATCGGATTATTCTGTCCATCTCTTGTGTTTAGACTCCAGCTGCTTGTGAATTTTCAGACTCAAGCATTTAAGGGATAGGAGGTTTTACGTCCATGTGTCCTTGGGGATCCTTTGCATCCAGCTTCTACCTCAGACTAGAGGACAACTGAGGGCTCTGTTTCTGTTTAAATATCAGGTGACTGAAAATTCATTGCAAACTTTGGTGCTATATATAATGTTCATCAATTGAGTTGCACATTCTCGCATAATCTCAGGCTTTTCAATCCACCCAACTTCTGTCACACACGTGTGTTATTTCATAATTAATTCATTGTGATGGGATTAAAAAATAGCCACTTCTCTTCACAAAACTATTTTTTTTTCTCCTTTATTGGTGATTTGTAAACTTGGGAGATTTTTCAGGAATGTTTATTGTTAGAGTGTGGTTTCAATTTCTACTTTTTAATTTAACAATATAATGATTATTTCCACTGGTTTTCTCTTGAGCTCTGAATGTGTTTATCTAAGTGCATGTGGCGTCTAGCAACTATCACATGAGGGATATTTGATTGCTCAGTTTGTTTCACGTTAGCTGAATGGCTTGCTAAATTTAAGACTACTCTGTAGTTTTACATTGTTGTCATTTATGGGTCTGTATTGTAGAGCAGAGTTGAGGTAGGAAAGAGATGAAAAAATTCACACTTGATTTATGTAATTTGATGAGACTTTAATAAAGTGAATATTTAATATTTAAAATGTGTGACTGGTATTGGCGAGGGTCATGGTCAGGCCCAGTCTGAAGTGCCAGGATATGCATGGACCCTTCGTAGGAGCTGTGAGCTTTAGTGCAGGACTTCACCACTCTGCAGAGCTCCTTCAATTGGTGGATAAATGGTAGACTTTGACTTCTACCTTTAGTGACCAAACTCAATAGAAAGCAGAGCTCCAGGGACTCCACGGAGGTGGTCTATAAAGGCCAACTTTTTGCAACAAGGCAGAGGGTAGAGGAGGATGAATGGTGGACTAGCGAGGCAGATGGGATCCAACCATTGCATACTGTATAATGCAAATAAAAGGAAGAATACACACTTCTTCTGCAAACCTGTCTGTAAGTCATTCTTAATAAATGTGCACATTGTATTTATTCAGCCAATGCTCAACCCATCCAAATGTCTACAATACTTTAAAAACATCAATGTACAGAGAAAAAATACAGTGATGGTTATAGCTAATTTGATTTTTATCCTTTAGAGAACCAAGCACCCAAACCTAGGAGTTTGGAAATTGTGAAAATATGTTTGTAAATCACATCTTGGAAACTTATCCTTTTTTCATGTACCAATATATATAAACATTATAAAGTAAACCAGATAACTTCTTGAAATTCACAACTCAGAATTTTAATCATCAAGTCTTGAAATTTTTAATTAATAACACATAAACTTTGACTTACATTGTTTGATACCTTTCATTTCCTTGGCAAAACATGACGTATCATTATAAAGTAGTTTTTCACAAATTGTGTGTCATGTCATATTTAAGTAAATTTAGCTACATGCAGCATATATTAAATAAGAAATATCAACATTGCTCTTCAGTTGTGATAGGTACTGCTAAAATTAGTTTTAAATGAACTAAAGTGCAGTCTGTAAACTATACACATCTAAAAGAGGTATACATAATAATCCTTTTATAATGACAAAGTGACCAAAGGCACATAAATGTTACATGGGGGCTGGGGATCTAGCTCAGCGGCAAAAGCGCCTGCCTGGCAAGCGCAAGGTCGTGAGTTCGGTTCCCGGTACCGGAGAAAAACCAAAAAAAAACAAAAAAAAACAAAACAAAAATAAATGTTACATGGTGGCATAGTAGAGATATTGTAGGGATAGTTAAAGGGATTTCAGACTCTAAAAATATAATGATACCTCAATTGTCAGATAACCCCAAGCTGGAACTTTCCACTACTCGAACAGCAAAGTTCTAAAAAAATCTGCTTGGTGTTTGTAACTTTACTTGACAGTTGAACTGAAAATCTGACTTTACTCCTGTGTATGGGTGGATTAGATCCTTGATGGGCGGAGAGTGAGTCACGCATTCACTTCAGGGTGACACTTCTTCAGTCTAAGTGCCGCTCTTGCCCAGGCAACATTTAGTGCTTGTGTAACTTTTGAGCCTGAGAACCAATTATTTGGATTTTCATGGTTTCTTATGTGAAAAATGCATTCAGTTCTCAAACTTTATAATGTTCAAACACAAATTGAAACAAATTGAGTTCAACAACTGGCATATCACTGCAATAGCAAATACTGACCTGGGGCTTTGGGAATATTCCATATCAACTGAAAAAACCATTCTGTACTCATCTGAAAATGGGCAGCTTTAGAGAGATTCAGCTTCCAAGGGACCCTAGGGAATCAGTGTTCAAGAGACACTGAAGCTTAGGAACAAGGAATGGAAAGTCAAGGGTGAGGACCCACACATAAGTCAGACAGGTTGGGTGATTTGTCTGTGTTTTTGTCCAGCTATAATGAAGACATCTCTTCTGTTAACCTCAGGATGACCATGGAGGAAGTGCTGAGTGGATAACGTAACAGTTATAAGCTGGTAGCCTGGATGAATAAAAAGGGAAAG